CGTTCAAAGGTTTGGGGTCACTTTTACATTTCCTTGTTTTCAAAAGAAAAGCAATTTTTTTGTCCCTTAAAATAACATCAAATTGATCAGAAATACAATGTAGACATTGTTAATGTCGTAAATGGCTATTGTAGCTGGAAACGGTTGATTTTTAATGGAATATATACAGTGAGGGAAAAAAGTATTTGATCCCCTGCTGATTTTGTACGTTTGCCCACTGACAAAGACATGATCAGTCTATAATTTTAATGGTAGGTTTATTTGAACAGTGAGAGACTGATTACCAACAAAAAAATCCAGAAAAACGCATGTCAAAAATTGTATAAATTGATTTTCATTTTAATGAGGGAAATAAGTATTTCACCCCCTCTCAATCAGATAGATTTCTGGCTCCCAAGTGACTTTTATACAGGTAACGAGCTGAGATTAGGAGCACACTCTAAAAGGGAGTGAAGGAAGGCTATCACTCCATTTTGCAACGCCATGCCATGCCCTGTGGACGGTGCTTGATTGGAGCCAATTTCCTCCTACAACAGGACAATGACCAAAGCACAGCTCCAAACATTTTAGTCATTTAGCAGACGCTCTTATCCAGAGCGACTTACATGAGCAATTAGGGTTAAGTGCCTTGCTTAAGGGCACATAGACAGATTTTTCACCTAGTCGGCTCGGGGATTAGAACCAGCGACCTTTCGTTACTGGCACAACGCTCTACCCACTAAGCTACCTGCCGCCCTCATGCTCAACTATGCAAGAACTATTTAGGGAAGAAGCAGTCAGCTGGTATTCTGTCTATAATGGAGTGGCCAGCACAGTCACCGGATCGCAACCCTATTGAGTAAGAAGTGCCCATCAAGCCAATCCAACTTGTGGGAGGTGCTTAAGGAAGCATGGGGTGAAATGTCTTCAGATTACCTCAACAAATTGACAGCTAGAATGCCAAAGGTCTAATTGCTGCAAATGGAGGATTCTTTGACGAAAGCAAAGTTTGAAGGACACAATTATTATTTCTATTAAAAAATCATTATTTCTAACCTTGTCAATGACTACATTTCCTATGCATTTTGCTATATTTCCTATTCAAACTAATTTCATGTATGTTTTCATGGACAACAAGGAAACTTCTAAGTCACCCCAAACTTTTGAACGGCAGTGTGTACTGTGTGTCTAATTATTAATGAGATGAGAAGGCATATTTACAAATCTATCAATTTCAGTAACTTCTGTCACATCCAGCAGGTTGTACAGAGAACTACAGAAGTAACACAGTCAATTATAGCTAAAAGCAGAAGAATTTTGGAATAATGTCAACAAACCAGACACAGTGTACTGCACAATAGGATATAAACTACCCTACTAACCTACCCCTCCATCCCTCTCAGAGACCCCTGATGTTACATTGACTAAGACTTGACATAGACTCAGATACCGATCCGCAAACACAGAGGAAATGATGTCTAATTCCATCTAGCATTGTACACACTTTACAAAGAAATCTATACAAAACAGCTGAATTGACAAATTCAATCCAATTGTTATAACCCATCTCCAACAAACTACATAGTTACATTTTCCTGAAAAAAGGCTGAACCATACAGGCTGAACCATACAGGCTAAACCATACAAGCTAAACCATGCAGGCTGAACCATACAGGCTAAACCATCCCATTGTGTAACAAACTAGTTCCATGTTCCTGAATAGAAGGTTGAGGTGACTGTCTAAACCAACAATAGCATTAAAATTACAGGTGAAATCAATCAACTCAATAAATCAACAGTATATTGTATTGTAAGCCTACTGTATATCTAATTATTGACTAAAATGGACTAAATGTAAGTCGCTCTGGATAAGAACACCTGGTAAATGACTAAAATGTAAAATGTAAATGTTACATGAGAAAGCATATTTACAAATATCAATAGAAAAGTTCAATCCATTTCAGTAGGATCTGTCACATCCAGCTGGCTATGTGAAGGAACTACACAGGTATGACAGTCAATAATGATTGTCATACCTGTGGACAAAAGCTCAAATAAAGCTAGTACTCGGAATTAATGCAAATTAGACATTATGGGTCGGTTTCCTAACCCCTAGTCCTGGACTAAAAAACAGTTTGAATGGAGAATCTCTATCGAATCTGCTTCTTAGTCCAGGACTAGGTTTAATCTGTGTCTGGGAAACTGGCCCTTTATACTGCCCAACAATGCAGTACCTTGTGCTGGTTACTCATTCAATACACTACATTTGGCAGCACTATGGAGTGGCTGCAAGGCTCTCACAGACTGCACGACTCTCACAGATTCTCTTAGATGGTTCGGCACATGCAAAGTCAAACCAACATTTGATTCGAAGGGAACAGCTTTGACCAATTCGGGCACATTCTTCACCTGGGGTCCAGTCATTTGGTTCTGGACGGGATGGAATTGTTTCAGTGTTCGGGTCCCAGAACCTAGAACAGGGAGGAGGGAAACCATTACTCCATACTGTATGCCCCCATAGAAGGAAACATGGCTTACAAAACTATATAGACAATTATTCTATGGTTACCTGAGAATGTGTTTGTTATTGTGTATTTGAGTGTACAAGTGTGTGTAGATGTGTGTGTGCGTGTGTGTGTTGTATGTGTTGTGTGTTGTATGTCCTTACTTGATGCTGTCATTAAGAGTTGTATTGTCCATCCAGACCCACACTCCTTCTTGCTTCTCGTCTGTCAGTCCAATCCAGGGGCTGTTATCAAAATCAGTGCCTTTCACTAATTTATCTATTATAAACGCCTATGGAGGAGACAACTTATTTTAGTAAACAATAGACTGAGATGAGGCAGAGATAGACACACCAGTAGAATGTCTTACAAATATTAGATCTACAGAATTCAAACTACATCTGGATCTTTAACTCAAACCTTAAAAGGGAATGGAAACACTTTAGAACACCAGCTAACTGTAACAGTGAATCTCCATATTTGCAAGTCTGCTTAATACGTAGGCCTATTTATCAGACAAGGCTGTATCCTAACTTGAAGTCTGCACTTTATGTGAGAGTCATTAGCAATTAATTACTGCACCTCCAACCTTACCTGCTCCTGACTACTCTCTATGATGACCAGGTGTCCTCCGTCACGGATGCAGGTGTACTGACTCTGTTCCCAGGTCAGTTTGTCTTTAGAGAAGTAGTAACATGATCCATTGTAGAACTCCCAGCCAGGAGAACATGGCTTCCTATCAGCATTACATTCCTTCTGATTCCCTAGAAGAGAGAAGAGATAACATAATAATGGGGCGGCGCACAATTGGCCCAGCGTCTTCTAGGGTAGGGGAGGGAATGGCCGGCAGGGATGTAGCTCAGTTGGTAGAGCATGGCGTTTGCAACGCCAGGGTTGTGGGTTCGATTCCCACGGGGGTATAAAAAAATAAAATAATAATAATGTAAGTCGCTCTGGATAAGAGCGTCTGCTAAATGACGTAAATGTAAATGTAAATAATTGAAATTTGATGACTTTCAGTTCTATATCCTGTGATGTTCTTGTTAAATGTGTGTGTCCCTTTAAGAGAGCACAATAGTTGTGGGCTAAGGGAGAGATAACCTGAAAGAGAAAGGACATAATTGGAATGAGAAACAATGACATACTGCGTTTACACAGTCAGACCAATTCTGATCTTTTGCCCAATTATTGGTCTTTTGAGCAATCAGATCTTTTGACAATAATTGGGCAAATGATCAGCAAAAGAGCTGATCTGATTGGTCAAAAGCAGTGGAGGCTGCTGAGGGAAGGGCGGCTCATAATAATGGTTGGAAGGGAGTAATTGGAATGGGATCATGCACATGGAAACCATGTGTTTGATGTATTTGGTACCATTCCACCAATTCCGCTCCAGCCATTACCTTGAGCCCGTCCTCCCCAATTACGGTGCCACCAACCTCCTATGGTCAAAATACCAATTAGTGGGAAAAAAGATCAGAATTGGGCTGACTGGGTAACAAGTTGAAGAACAGCTCCACCACATATCCTATAATTGAACTACTGGCCATTGGACATCCACGCTCATTCTGTCATAGCTTAGAGTATATGGTTGTGACTAGATGGAGTATAGCTACGGACGAGATTCACCATTGAGCACTGCGAGAGTTTGGACTTGCGTTTGGAAGCCAGATGATGAGTCGGAGTCGGATATCACTTAGATTTTCTCAAAGTAAAAATGAATAGTTTCACTGGCGATTGTTTATTTTTGATGAAATATCAATGAACTGTTGCTTGTATGCGTAGACACTGCTTCACAATAATAGCTAAATCAATATTGAGGTAAACAAACAGTGTATAATGCATTTAATCATATACATCCTATCCTATCATGTAATCGTGCTTGCCACATTCCGGTGGAGGTAGGAAATAAACTATAACGTTTCAAATAAATTGCCAGTGCAGAGATACAATATAACCAAGCCAATTTGTCCTGCTAAATGCCAATGCATCCTAAATGTGGTCTTTTCAAATTGAAACTCTGTACATATTGACCACCAGCTATCTGCACATTGCTGCCCTACCTCTAGCTAGCATCTAGCTATCTATTGCCATAGCAACAAAAAGTTATATCCTACTCTGAGTCGTTATCTGGCTTCAAAACTTATGTCCAAACTCTCGCAGTAGTTAAATGGTAAATCCATAGGTATAAGAATGATTATATTCCATGAATCCATGATTCTATTCTTATTTGTATGGTAATCTCATTTGTAGCTGTAATCCATCTAGTCACAACCACAGTACATAGGGAGGATTGAACTGACCTTGGATGGTTGGCAGGAGATCTTTGACCCTAGTCAGGTTGGCGTTACAGTCTTGAAGCCCTGAGGATAACAACTCTTTCTGGACTAAGAACAGAAGATATTTACAACAAATTAGAATACAGTGTAGTTCTGTTGAATTAAGGCCATAATACAAAAGGTATGTAGTTGGCAAACAAAACATTTGAAGTATAAAATTACTTTCCAATGCACTTCACCACACTCATATGACTAAATTTCCATTAGGGCCAGGACTTTTCCCTGGTCAAGAAAAACCCATGTCCTTCCTCATATACAGTGCAATGATAGCATATACAATATTGAAACATGTTTTGTGGAAGCAATACTACTGCAGTGTAAATGTAATCCTAATCTTGATAACATGGAACTTTGTATTGAAATGAGAAGTTTTAGTTAAATTGGGTTCAACTTCCCCTTTACATTAGTATGTCAAATCAAATCAAGTGTTATTTGTCACATGCGCCGAATACAACTGGTGTAGACTTTACCGTGAAATTCTTGCATATGAGCCCTTCCCTAAAATGTAGAGTTTAAAATAAAAACAAAATAGTAACACAAGAGGAATAAAATAAAATACAAAAGAATGGAGCTATATACAGGGAGTACCAGTATCAGATCAATATGCTGAGGTATTTGAGGTAGATATGTACATGAAGGCAGGGTAAAGTGACTAGGCATCAGGATGGATCATAATAAGAGTAAAATGAAGAACAGAGTAGCAGCAGCAGCAAATTATGAGTATAAAAGTGTGTGTGTAATGTGTATGTACAGTGGGGAAAAAAAGTATTTAGTCAGCCACCAATTGTGCAAGTTCTCCCACTTAAAAAGATGAGAGAGGCCTGTAATTTTCATCATAGGTACACGTCAACTATGACAGACAAATTGAGATTTTTTTTCTCCAGAAAATCACATTGTAGGATTTTTAATGAATTTATTTTCAAATTATGGTGGAAAATAAGTATTTGGTCACCTACAAACAAGCAAGATTTCTGGCTCTCACAGACCTGTAACTTCTTCTTTAAGAGGCTCCTCTGTCCTCCACTCGTTACCTGTATTAATGGCACCTGTTTGAACTTGTTATCAGTATAAAAGACACCTGTCCACAACCTCAAACAGTCACACTCCAAACTCCACTATGGCCAAGACCAAAGAGCTGTCAAAGGACACCAGAAACAAAATTGTAGACCTGCACCAGGCTGGGAAGACTGAATCTGCAATAGGTAAGCAGCTTGGTTTGAAGAAATCAACTGTGGGAGCAATTATTAGGAAATGGAAGACATACAAGACCACTGATAATCTCCCTCGATCTGGGGCTCCACGCAAGATCTCACCCCGTGGGGTCAAAATGATCACAAGAACGGTGAGCAAAAATCCCAGAACCACACGGGGGGACCTAGTGAATGACCTGCAGAGAGCTGGGACCAAAGCAACAAAGCCTACCATCAGTAACACACTACGCCGCCAGGGACTCAAATGACAGACGTGTCCCCCTGCCTAAGCCAGTACATGTCCAGGCCCGTCTGAAGTTTGCTAGAGTGCATTTGGATGATCCAGAAGAGGATTGGGAGAATGTCATATGGTCAGATGAAACCAAAATAGAACTTTTTGGTAAAAACTCAACTCGTCGTGTTTGGAGGACAAAGAATGCTGAGTTGCATCCAAAGAACACCATACCTACTGTGAAGCATGGGGGTGGAAACATCATGCTTTGGGGCTGTTTTTTTGCAAAGGGACCAGGACGACTGATCTGTGTAAAGGAAAGGATGAATGGGGCCATGTATCGTGAGATTTTGAGTGAAAACCTCCTTCCATCAGCAAGGGCAATGAAGATGAAACGTGGCTGGGTCTTTCAGCATGACAATGATCCCAAACACACCGCCCGGGCAACGAAGGAGTGGCTTCGTAAGAAGCATTTCAAGGTCCTGGAGTGGCCTAGCCAGTCTCCAGATCTCAACCCCATATAAAATCTTTGGAGGGAGTTGAAAGTCCGTGTTGCCCAGCGACAGCCCCAAAACATCACTGCTCTAGAGGAGATCTGCATGGAGGAATGGGCCAAAATACCAGCAACAGTGTGTGAAAACCTTGTGAAGACTTACAGAAAACGTTTGACCTGTGTCATTGCCAACAAAGGGTATATAACAAAGTATTGAGAAACTTTTGTTATTGACCAAATACTTATTTTCCACCAAAATTTGCAAATAAATTCATTAAAAATCCTACAATGTGATTTTCTGGAATTTTTTTTCTCATTTTGTCTGTCATAGTTGACGTGTACCTATGATGGAAATTACAGACCTCTCTCATCTTTTTAAGTGGGAGAACTTGCACAATTAGTGGCTGACTAAAAACTTTTTTTCCCCACTGTATGTGTGTTTGTGTTGTGTCGGTCTGCGTATGTGTGTTATGTTTGTGTGTGTGTGTGTATGTAGTGTATGTGAATGTGGGTTAGTCGTGGGTGAACAGGGAGTACAGGAGTGGACTAAGCACACACCCCTGAGGGGCCCCCGTGTTGAGGGTCAGCGTGGTGGAGGTGTTGTTGCCTACCCTCACCACCTGGGGCCGGCCTGTCAGGAAGTCCAGGATCCAGTTGCAGAGGGAGGTGTTCAGTCCCAGGGTCCCTAGCTTGGTAATGATATTGGAGGGGACTATGGTGTTGAACGCTGAGCTGTATTCTATGTACAGCATTCTCACATAGTTATTTCACCTCTTGTCCAGGTGGGAGAGGGCAGTGTGAAGTGCAATTGAGATTGCTTCATCTGTGGATCTGTAGTGTATGTGAATTGGTGTGGGTCTAGGCTGTCTGGGATGATGGTGTTAATGTTTGTCATGACCAGCCTTTAAAAGCACTTCAATAATTACAGATATGTTATGACAATATTCTGAAATGAATAGGAGAACAGCAGCTAGTCAGTCCCATGTCAGTAGAGTCCTGCTCTAGACTACCTACCTGTTATGTTGTGGCTCTCATTCTGCAGTCTCTTATAGTTGTCTTGCAGTTCATGCAGTTTCCCTGTTATGAAAGAGCAAATAATATGGATGAATAACATTCATTTATTTACATATCTAACCATAAGGTAAGTAAGTAAACCTTGTCCAAGCTAGAATGACCTATTATCTAACCATAGTCCTATTAAAATGAAACAATATGTTATTCATATATTACAGTGAAACGGCAGTATTTGAATCTGAGCCAAACTGCACCTTAATGATTTATATGGATTTTCTCAAACATTTATAGAAGGGGTTGATAATGGTAAAGACCTCTGGATCATTGATATTCTCACCTGTTAGATTCTCTTTCATCTGGGCAAAGCGAGCCTCCTCAGCTTGAAGACTAGTCATGTTGGAAGAATCTGGAACAGAGACAAGGAGACAAGATGGAGGGTAATTGTTCTTCTCTTGTGTATCACACTATCGTACCAACCTGAAATGTACTGGTCTGGGGTGGCTTGGATATTTTCTCTGCACATTGTCCTTTTCAGCAGAGTTCCAGGCCAACAACTACAGTGGATGCATAACCAGTTCGGTTCAGTAGTGTAAAAGGGTCAGGGTTCAGTTAAATGTTTCTATACTCACAGAGGACTCCCAGAGTGATAGCCAGACCCAGCAGTAGAACACAGAGACACGCCAGGGTCACCACGGGAACACTCCCAGACCCTCCCTCCGGGATTGCAGCCTTTGACCCCACTGGGGGAGAGGGGTCACTAGTGTCAGGGTCACTTCCTGGAAAAGGAGTGGATGTCAGAGGTTATAAGGTCATAAGGTTAAATAAGGGGTATTTAATGTAACCCTTAGCTAACTGTAACACACACACACCTCACCTTTCCCAGGATCCTCCTGCTCTCTAGCTCTACCTCCTGGTCTTCTGACCTCAGAGTATGTGACATCCTCTTCACGTTCGGCTACTCCTATGGTTACAGAGATATGAAGAAAGAAATGGTTCTTTTTTTCATTTATTTTACATATATTGCACCCCATGCGTGATTATATTATTTCCCTAAAACCAACCTCATGGTGATTACCCCCTATTAGAATTGTACCATTCTAGTTTCTCTCTCACATTCCACTATCGCAACATTCTATTAGTATTGTACCATTCTAGTTTCTCTCACACATTCCACTATCTCAACATTCTATTAGTATTGTACCATTCTAGTTTCTCTCACACATTCCACTATCTCAACATTATATTAGAAATGTACCATTCTAGTACCTCTCTAAGAATCCACTATATCAATATTATATTAGAAATGTATCGGTCTACACTGAAAATATATATAAACGCAACATCTAAGGTGTTGGTCCCATGTTTCATGAGCTGAAATAAAAGATCCCAGAAATGTTCCATTTGCACAAAAAGCTTATTGCTCTCAAATTATGTAGACAAATATGTTCACTTCCCTGTTAGTGAGAATTTCTCCTTTGCCAAGATAATCCATTCACCTGACAGGTGTGGGATATCAAGAAGCTGATTAAACAGCATGATCATTACACAGGTGCACCTTGTGCTGGGGACAATAAAGGCCACTCTAAAATTTGCAGTTTTGTCACACAACACAATGCCACAGATTAATTTCTCTACCATAAGCCATCTCAAACGTCGTTTTAGAGAATTTGGCAGTCCGTTCAACTGGCCTCACAACCGCAGACCTTGTGTATGGTGTCGTGTGGGTGAGCAGTTTGCTGATGTCAACGTTGTGAACAGAGTGCCCCATGGTGGGGTTATGGTATGGGCAGTCATAAACTACGGACAACGTACACGTTTGTATTTTATCGATTTGCAATTTGAATGCACAAAAATTCCGTAACGAGATCTTGAGGTCATTGTAAGGCCCATTTTTTTGTAGGTATCTATGTCCAACAGATGCATATCTGTATTCCCAGTCATGTGACATCCGTAGATTAGAGCCTAATTAATTAATTTCAATTGACTGATTTCCTTATATGAACTGTAACTCAGTAAAATCTTTTAAATTGTTGCTTGTGGCATTTATATTTTTGTTCAGTATAGTTTCTCTCTCACAATCAACTGTATCAACATTCTATTAGAAATCTACCATTTTAGTTCCTCTCTCTCACAATCCACTATCTCAACATTCTATTAGAAATGTACCATTCTATTTCCTCTCTCACGATCCACTATCTCAACATTCTATAAGAAATGTCCCATTCTAGTTCCTCTCTTACAATCCACTATCTCAATATTCTTTCCTTTGAGCTCTACTAGGTTAGAGTCCCCTGACTGGAAGGTCCAACATGCAAACCATTTTATTAACTGTTAGGGTAACTAACCAATCTAATATTCTAATTCAGCATATCTGAAGAAAAGCTAACTTATTGTCAAGAGAAATGAGGAAACACTTTTGGCCATGAACCAAATGTTACAGGTTGATGCTGTCTGTCTGTCTGTATGTCTGTCTGGAAGTTGGTTCACAGTGTGAAATCCAACAGACATGTCCAGAGTGTGACGAATAACATCTACTTTACATGGAACTGTCATCTTCTCATGCCCTTTACATTGCACTAATACTGTACATATCCTTCAAAACAGGATTCTATATGGAGAACCATTGTTGAGGCCCTATGGGATATATTCAAAAGGAAATGGACAAAAACGTTGCACTTTACATAATAATGCTATAGTACATTCTAAAAGAGATGCCCAGTGACTCATACAATACCACATGTTAAACATTTAGTACTAATTCATATTTATCCTCAAGTACAGTTACAAACACACTTCAGAAAAGCTCATATTGATCCCAACCAAAATATGTCTTATTTTCCCTCTAGCCCCTGGGTTTACACAGTTATTATTTGTGATACAACCATACAGTAAATCATCACGATAGCCAGTTAATAATATTCCTTGACAGTCTATGGATGCAACAGTGCGTCAATCTAATTAACATAACAAGAAATCCCCATAAAAGTCTGTCAATTTAAACTAGAGATATCTGCTTTTTGCATGGGCTACGTCTCAATCCACCAAATCCGCCTATGTTGACCTTCCACATCTGTGGTGGAAGGTGGCAGGGGTACAATGCTGTTTGTCAGGAGACATCATGAAAATCAGTCTTCTCACAAAATCGCCTGTATCGCCGATGTGCCAACGTCTGACTGTATCGTCCGCACCGTTTGGGCTACCAACTAACGTGACCCCACTATGGAAATTGGAGACTATCAAGAACACTATGGCGTTTGCTGTCTTGCTCCACAACCCCCACAAGTGTCAAGGGACTCGTCTGAAGGTAACCTATAAAAATAAATTGAAATATGGAAGCAGTTTTGAGCAAAAGAAAAGTGGTTAAATATGTGTCCAAAAAAATTTAATATTTCCTGAGTTTTCTCATATCTTCTAGATATAGGACAGACACATTATTAATGTCACACCCTGACGTATGGGACTCTAGGATGTTGAGTCAGGGTGTGGAGTTCTATGTTGTATTTTCTATGTTCTCAGTCTAGGTGTTGTATTTCTATGTTTGGCCGGGTGTGATTCCCAATCAGAGACAGCTGTCGCTCGTTGTCTCTGATTGGGGATCATACTTAGGCAGCCTGTTTGCATTCAGTTGTTGTGGGATCTTGTTCCGTGTAGAGGCTTGTGTTGTGTTTAGCCTGTGGACTTCACGTTACGTTGTTTTGTTGTTTTGTTCGTGTGTTTATCTTTAAAATAAACATGTATGCATTTCACGCTGCGCCTTGGTCTGACCCGTCCTTAAACGAACGTGACAGAAGATCCCACCAAACACGGACCAAGCAGCGTGCCCAGGAGCAAACACCCTGGACACAGGTGGGGAAGATTTGGTCTTGGGAGGAGATATTTGCGGGGAAAGGACCCTGGGCGAAGAAGGAAGCCCAGGCAGGAGAGGAGCAACGGCAACACAGAAGGCGCCGGCCGAGGAGGAAGCCCGAGAGGCAGCCCCAATAAAAAAAATTGGGGGGGGCTAAAGGAGTGGTCGGGGAGCGAGAGAGAAGAGCCCCGACCACTGCACCCGACCATGGGGAAGAAGAGTGGGAACAGTTTTATACTGAGGAGTCGGAGGATGACGACGACGACGATGAGTTTCTGTTCCCTAACTCGTGGGGGCTCCCGGAGGAGTCTTCACTGGAGGAGGAGTGCCGAGAGAGAGAGAAGGATCGGATCTGCAGGGTAAGAGAGGAGGCCACCACATTACGGGGGCTGATAGCGAGAATAGAGCGGGAGAGCTCCATTCAAGAGGAGGCACTGCAGGAGGCTCGTAGGGAGAAGAAGGAAGTAGATGCACGGAGAGAGGAGCTAGTTAGGCAATATAAGGAGCGTGGGTTAATAGAGGAACCCAAGTATGCAGAGATACGCACTGTATCGCCAGTGCGCATGCACAGCCCAGTGCGTTCTGTGCCAGTGCCCCTCACGTGTCGTGTGAAAGTGGGCAGCAAGCCAGGACGGGTAGTGCCGGCTCAACGCTCCTGGTCTCCAGTGCACCTCACTAGTCCTGTTCGGCCCGTATCTGCTCCTCGCACCAAGCCAGTGGTGTGTATCCCCAGTCCGGCCAGGCCCGTTCCTGCTCCTCGCACCAAACCAGTGGTGCGTGTCTCCAGTCCGGCCCGGCCCATTCCTTCTTCTCGCACCAGACCTGTGGTGTGTGTCCCCAGTCCGGCCTGGCCCGTTCCTGTTCCCCGCACCAGGCCAGTGGTGCGTGTTCCCAGTCCGGTACGCCCGTGCCTGCTCCCCGCACCAAGGCAGTGGTGCGTGTTCCCAGTCCGGCCCGGCCTGTTCCTGCTCCACGCACCAGGCCAGTGGTGCGTGTTCCCAGTCCGGTAAGGCCTGTCCCTGCTCCTCGCACCAAGCCAGTGGTGCGTGTTCCTAGTCCGGTCCGGCCCATGCCTGCTCCCCGCACCAAGCCAATGGTGCGTGTCCCCAGTCCGGCCCGGCCCGTTCATGCTCCTCGCACCAGACCTGTGGTGTGTGTCTCCAGTCCAGCCAGGCCCGTTCCTGCTCCTCGCACCAGACCTGTGGTGTGTGTCTCCAGTCCAGCCCGGCACGTTCCTGCTCCTCGCACCAGACCTGTGGTGCGTGTCTCCAGTCCGGCCCGGCCCGTTCCTGCCCCTTGCACCAGACCAGTGGTGGGTGTTCCCAGTCCGGCCCGGCCCATTCCTGCTCCTCGCTCCAGACCTGTGGTGCGTGTCTCCAGTCCGGCCCGGCCCATTCCTGCTCCTCCCACCAGACCAGTGGTGCGTGTTCCCAGTCCGGCCCGGCCCGTTGCTTGCTCCCCGCACCAAGCCGGTGGTGCGTGTCGCCAGTCCGGCCCGGCCCGTTCCTGCTCCTCGCACCAAGCCAGTGGTGTGTGTTCCTAGTCCGGTCCGGCCCGTGCCTGCTCCTCGCACCAGACCTGTGGTGTGTGTCTCCAGTCCAGCCCGGCTCGTTCCTGCTCCTCGCACCAGACCAGTGGTGGGTGTTCCCAGTCCGGCCCGGCCCATTCCTGCTCCTCGCTCCAGACCTGTGGTGCGTGTCTCCAGTCCGGCCCGGCCCGTTCCTGCTCCTCCCACCAGACCAGTGGTGCGTGTTCCCAGTCCGGCCCGGCCCGTGCCTGCTCCCCGCACCAAGCCAGTGGTGCGTGTCGCCAGTCCGGCCCGGCCCGTTCCTGCTCCTCGAACCAAGCCAGTGGTGCGTGTGTCCAGTCCGGTCAGCTGCTCCACTCCGGAGCCAGAGCAGTCCGCTCCACCAGGATTCAGTCCAGCTCCGGTCAGCAACTCCACTCCGGAGCCAGAGCAGTCCGCTCCACCGGTGCACAGTCCAGCTCCGGTCAGCAGCTCCACTCCGGAGCCAGAGCAGTCCGCTCCACCGGTGCCTAGTCCAGCTCCGGTCAGCGGCTCCAGTCCGGAGCCAGACGTCAGTCCCTCTCCAGGTTCGGGGTCTCCCACACCAGGGTCCAGACAGGGCTTGGTGCATCGTGGGAGGAAGGAGAGGGGAAGCAGCGTGCCGAGGTCCAGACCAGACCAGGGGCGTAACGGGGAGGATGAGAGAATGTGGTCATCACGCCCGGAACCGGATCCGCCTCCGAGGTGGAATGCCCACCCGGACCCTACCCTGTTATGTAAGGTTTGTGCGGTCGGAGTCTGCACCTTTGGGGCGGGGGGGTACTGTCACACCCTGACGTATGGGACTCTAGGATGTTGAGTCAGGGTGTGGAGTTCTATGTTGTATTTTCTATGTTCTCAGTCTAGGTGTTGTATTTCTATGTTTGGCCGGGTGTGATTCCCAATCAGAGACAGCTGTCGCTCGTTGTCTCTGATTGGGGATCATACTTAGGCAGCCTGTTTGCATTCAGTTGTTGTGGGATCTTGTTCCGTGTAGAGGCTTGTGTTGTGTTTAGCCTGTGGACTTCACGTTACGTTGTTTTGTTCGTGTGTTTATCTTTAAAATAAACATGTATGCATTTCACGCTGCGCCTTGGTCTGACCCATCCTTAAACGAACGTGACAATTAAATAAAATATTCCTTATGATATTCCTTATGATTTGTTCTTTGACTTTCTTTTTTTTGCCATTTTGAATGTGTTTTTCAATGTGTTTCTATGGGCTATAGTAGTAAAGGCCAAATTCAATATTTTATCAAATTATTATAATATAATTTTTATACATACAGAGGCCTTTCAAGGTGTCGAAAGCGTTGCACAGGGATGCTGGCCGATGTTGACTCCAATGCTTCCCACAGTTGTGTCAAGTTGGCTGGATGTCCTTTTGGTGGTGGATCATTATTGTTGATGCACACGAGGAACTGTTGAGTGTAAAAACCCCAGCAGTGTTGCAGTTCTTGACACAAACCGGTGCGCCTGGCAACTACTACCATACCCCGTTCAAATATTTTGTCTTGCCCATTCACCCTCTGAATGGCACACGTACACAATCCATGTCTCGATTGTCTCAAGGGGTAAAAATCCTCCTTTAACCCGTCTCCTACAGTGATTTAACATTTGACATCAATAATTGATCACAGCGTTCACCTGGTTTCACTTGGTCAGTGTATGTAATGGAAAGAGCAGGTGTTCTTCATGTTTTATACACTCAGTATATACAGCCTTCTTCTGTTACTAACTCCTTGTTGAATTATGACATTTCAACCCTCGCCCCCCAAGGTGATGAAATATTGTATTGTAAACGTATGTTTGAAAACTAATATAACGATATAAATTAGAGAGAATAAAGAGGAGGAGAGACTCACCTTTAGAAACTTCACTTTCTGCTCCAGCATCTTGGTTCTGATGCCGAGTGAATGTAACATCGGAGTAGACGATTTCACCAGACATCATCACTACTCTATGTCCTCTCTCAGAGTGGAGACCAGAAGAGGAAGAAGTCCCTTAACATCACACATGCTCACTCATGAAAATCCCACAAACACTCACACACTCAAGCACACACACACACTAGTAGTACACAAACACAACTGTTACGGAATACACAGAATGTTATGCAAAGAACATGCACAGAGACACACACGCTTACAGGCACGGACACACGTCCCAGGAGAATGCTGAGTGGGGTGGTGAGTTAAAATACAGAACTCATATTCAGTTTCTATTTTCCGCTGGTCTTTATTTGAATATGTGGTAAACTAGAACTTAATTTAAATATGTTGTAAACTGGCAACCTAGTCAACGTACTGTAGACATACTGATGCCATCTCTAAAGGCATAGCCAAGACAGTTGACTTGTCATGCTCATTCAAACATGGCCTGTAGAATTTACAGTAGGTAGGATTCTAGCTAGCTGTAATTATATAGAGATATAACATATTATCTGTCAGTTAAGTATCATTCATGATAGATGGTTTGTCACGATCGTTGATGAACGATAAGGACCAAGGCGCAGCGTGATATGCCAACATGTTTATTTAACGAATAAACACAACGACAAAACAATAAACTAACGATACGTGACGTCCTAAGGTACACACAACATACCTCACACGGAACAAGATCCCACCACTAACTAGTGCCAAAAGGCTGCCTAAGTATGGTCCCCAATCAGAGACAATGAGCGACAGCTGCCTCTGATTGGGAACCACACCGGCCAACATAGAAATAGACATACTAGAACATCAACATAGAAATATACAACATAGAACATACACACCCTGACTCAACATATACGAGTCCCTTGAGTCAGGGCGTGACATGGTTAAAGAGAAACAGCAGATAATACATTATTTCCATAATCCTAATATAATATATCACATCATATATCATCAAATAATGTTTTATAATAATCATTTCATAATGACAGCTCCTGTCAATTTGACTATTTGTGTGGGCTCTCTTGAAGCACGATACTGACAGCTGTGGAAGCAACTGTTGTTTTCTGTGAATATATTTGTATAACCACTGACACTATGAAAGTGGTACTATTCTCATATTAACATACTGTCTCTGCTGACTGTTGTCCAAGACAGGTAAAATGATGTGGTGAGGTGTGTTCAGATTAGGTATTAGTAATTTGGTCCTCTTTCATGGTTTTAAAATGACCAAATATGAACCAATATGAAATACTCAACAACAACAACAACAACAACTACTACTACTAGAGCTTCAAGTTCCTTGGTGTCCACATCACCAACGAACTATCATGGTCCAAACACACCAAGACAGTCGTGAAGAGGGCACGACAAAGCCTATTCCCCCTCAGGAGACTGAAAAGATTTGGCATGGGTCCTCAGATCCTCAAAAAATTCTACAGCTGCACCATCGAGAGCATCCTGACTGGTTGCATCACCGCCTGGTATGGCAACTGCTTGGCCTCTGACCGCAAGGCACTACAGAGGGTAGTGCGTACGGCCCAGTACATCACTGGGGCAAAGCTCCCTGCCATCCAGGACCTCTATACCAGGCGGTGTCAGAGGAAGGCCCTCAAAATTGTCAAAGACTCCAGTCACCCTAGTCATAGACTGTTCTCTCTGCTACCGCACGGCAAGCGGTACCGGAGTGCCAAGTCTAGGTCCAAAAGACTTCTCAACAGCTTCTACCCCCAAGCCATAAGACTCCTGAACAGCTAATCATGGCTACCCGGACTATTTGCACTGCCCCCCCACCCCATCCTTTTTACGCTGCTGCTACTCTGTTAAGTATTTATGCATAGTCACTTTAACTCTACCCACATGTACATATTACCTCAACTACCTCAACTAGCCGGTGCCCCCGCACATTGACTATGCAACGGTACCCCCCTGTATATATAGCCTCCCTACTGTCACTTTATTCTATTGTATATATAGCCTCCCTACTGTCACTTTATTTTTTACTTCTGCTCTTTTTTCTCAACACTTTTTTGTTGTTGTTTTATTCTTACTTTTTTGTTTAAAATAAATGCACTGTTGGTTAAGGGCTGTAAGTAAGCATTTCACTGTAATGTCTGCACCTGTTGTATTCGGCGCATGTGACCAATAAAATTTGATTTGATTTGATTTGATACTACTACTAGTACTACTACTACTGTATCACCATGTCCTACATTACATTTTACAAACATTACTATATCACTGTGTTATTCTAGCAGGACTCAACAAAAAGAGAGATGTGTATCAGTGCACCAATGTCATGGTATTGTTGTCAGATGAAAGAACTCTATAATGTGTTGCATGGAGAAGACATGTTGAGATCCAGAACCATCTTACTGAATGGATCACATTCTCAGTTGTCCACATTACATTAATATGATACTGTGTATACTGTAGTGTACATCCAATACATTCCACTAGGTGTCTCATCAGTCCCATTATTTACAATATTTACATCATCAACAGTGGTAGTAGCAGAGACGTAAGAGCAAGCGAGACATTTCACTTGCTCCTTTTTTGTGCTTCATATACTGTCAGTCAATGAATTAAGCAGATCAGATCCAGCTGCTATCACATTGGTGTCTATGGGAGAGCCACCCCTTTTAGCTTCAATATGCAACCTTTTGGGCAACCCGACCAAATTCACATAGAAATGTGAGTTATAGCTCTGTCATTCTCATTGGAAGCATATCTAAGATGTGGTAGATATGTTCTATGGGCGCTATTTCTATTCTCCCAGTTCTTAAGTTACGTTTTTTCTTTGTACACCAGCTTCAAACATCTGAAAATATCATATTTGTGGTTACTGAAAATATATTTCACAGTGGTTTAGATGGTTCAATTATTTTCTATACTATACAGCGCTTGTTTTGTCACATATACTGAAATTAGGCAAAATATAACAACATTTGCAACCAGGAAATGGTGAAGCAATTTCTGAATATTGGACCTTTCAGTATTAAGCAGATTGGAACATAGATTAATTTTTTAATGGTACGCTTTTTGACCATTCAAAACAAAGGCTGGACCACTTAAGTCAGTTGTTTGTGTGTATGCCTCTCAAGACACAAAATACTGTGCACAAAGGCTGAGAAACTTTACACTGGTTGTCATAGTTACCACAAACCAACAACCCTCCTCAACCAGAGACGAGTTGAGTGGTTATGGTTTGATCTCTTCCTCTTTAGCAGTGAGGGTTTGTCTGTGAAGTGGTCTTTTTCCATTGTGGGCAGAGAGAGACAAATAGAGAAATGGTTGTTGCTGATGATTAGGCCTATGCATGGGACAAGTGTGTGGGGCTTTTTTGCCAATGTTATTTTAGAATACAGTATACTGTATTTCACTTGTCATATTCATTTCTCAAGATCATCTACACACAGTTGACCTCCAAATAGCTACAGTGGGGTCCGAAATTATTGACACCCTTGATGAAGATGAGCAATAATGACTGTATAAAATAAATAATTCAAATACTGAGCTATATTGTAAGCAAAAAAAAGGGTGAAATTATATAATTTACCACTAATACAATTGCTCAGAGAAATACATTTGTTTAACAAGTAGTCTTTTCTCTCTAAAAGGTAGGGATCAAAATTATGGACACCGCTAAAGATTCTTATAAATAAAGTAGTCAAAAGTTTAGTGGGGTCCTATATTCCTAGCACGCAATGACTATATCAAGCTTGCGACTCTACAAACTTGTTGGATGCGTTAGCAGTTAGTTTGGTTGTGTTTCAGATTATTTTGTGCCCAACAGAAATGAATGGTAAATAATATATTGTGTCATTTTGAAGTCAGTTTGATTATAAATAAGAATAGAATATGTTTCTAAACACTTCTATATTAATGTGGCTGCTAACATGATTAAGGATAATCCTGATTGAATTGTGAATAATGATGAGTGAGAAAGTTACAGAGTGTCAAAGATCATACCCCCGAGACATGCTAACCTCTCACAATTACCAAAAACAGGGGAGGTTCTTAATTACAGTAAAAGTGACTCCAAAAATACATTATTTACCATTAATTTCTATTGGGCACAAAATAATCTGAAACACAACCAAAATGAACTGCAAATGCATCCAACAAGTTTGTAGATTCACAAGCTTGATGTAGTTATTGAGTGCTAGGAAAATGGGACCAAATAATACACTTTTGACTGCTTTATTCAAAATAATCTTAGGGGTGTCAATCATTTTGACCCCTACCTTTTTGAGAATTTATTGTATTACCTGTTAAACAAAATCTCTTTCAATGAGCAATTGTATAAGTATAAAATAATTTCATTTCCCCATTTTTTGGGGTGCATACATTATAGCTCAGTATTTGAATTATTTATTTGATAAAGTCATTGTTGCTCATCTTTATCAAGTGTGTCAATAATTTCAGACCCCACTTTACATCCTGAACAAAATGATAAATATCACATGTGCCATGAAGTCAAACCTTTGACCCCTCTCCACCTCTCCTAGTGACACTACAGATTCTACTGAAAATGTAAACATGACCTGGTATGGTCAATGCAATATTGACTTTTGCACTAATCTGTTCCAGTAAATTCCTTCCTCAGATCTTTCCTTTTTATTATGTATTTTTTTTACTGAATATTTAAAACATACAATCTACTTTCAGTGAAGCCGCTCAACATCTACATCACATTAGTCATCTAACAGACTCCCACAGAAGCAACCAGGGTCAACGCCCTGCTCAAGGGCACATCGACAGATCTCCCATAAGGTCAAAAGTTTTGTTAGTTCTCTCTTCCACCCACAGAAAGACCACAATGTTGCTGTGTCCACTCCTTTTACAGAAAGAGGAAGTTGAGTCAAGGTGAACATGACATCAGATGCTCATTTACTCTGTTTTTCTTCAAGGATCTGTAACTTTCTAATTCTGACAAAGCCCAATTTGTGTCACAGCCACAGGAACTGTAGGTGTCCAGTCCGGAGGAAACGCTGGTGTCTTCAGTCCCTTACCAGAGGCTCAGAATGGAGC